TCTAACCGAGTGGAATCCCTATTATTTATTCACGGAATAATCCGCTCTAACATGGACTCCACTCTCCTTTTCCAAATATTTCATTCTTCTGAAAAGATGCTCTTGTTTTCTTTAGCCCCCCTCTAGAGACACTTTCGCAAGTCCGGTCTTTGTGAAGGCATTTCTCACTCACACACACACACACACACACACACACACACACACACACACACACACACACACACACACACACACACACACACACACACACACACACACACACACACACACACAAATGGAAGGATGGACTACTCGATTAATTAGTGAATGAAAGAGACCCGGAAAATGGACAAGGCAGGAGATGAAATGAAAATGCATACACAAATATCATTTCTTTCAACATGGTGTATCGTTTAAGACTCCGAGACACTCGTCACTGCAGACAGTCTTCCCCGCACGAAAACAAGAACAAAAATCACAGGAAAACCGGGGTGAGGGAAACGAAGAATCAACTTCGACAGTAATGTGTCTGTATTTCCTACCGTGTTCCTTTAGGGAAACGGAGAATCAACTTCGACAGGAATGTCTCTATATTTCCTACCGTATTCCTTAAACTATTTTAGTCTACCTTGTTGTCCTTTCATTCCATTATGCACTTTTAATAATAGACGTTTTATCCTCAATATTAATGTCTATTACTTAGACAGATTGCGTCTCTGCCATTTCCTCGTTATATTCTCTAGTTCTGAACAATTTACACTGCCACACTGTGTTCGCACCGCATTCGAATGAAAGATGGTGGTCCTGTCCCTGTCCGTCGAATATGTTCCTCGTCTTCCCCCTATATCCTAGTCTTTATTGCATGCTATTTTCTACATCCCATAGGATCTCTCCCCTATCTCTCTTTATTTTTACATATTCTTCACTCCCAACTTCCTCTCACATATTTGTGACCTCTGATTATTTTGTCTCTCAGCAGGGACCCTCCCTCTTGTCACCTATCCTATTCCCTCCTTCTGCGCCATTTCTCAGCATTTCTCATTCCCCTACACCAAACATTCCTCCTCCCCATCACAGCACACACATGTCCCCCTCCCTGCACCACATACACATGCACCTCTTAACAACACTTCCAATACTCACATGATATTAACGGCCGAGGAGAGGTTGGATGGGACCTCCACCAGAGAAGGGCCCCAGCAGCTGCACTCCACTTCCCGCTCTTTGGAATCCGTGTCCCAGCATCCACAGCCGGATTCACTACGGGGAAAGGACGAAGCCCGTGTCAGGTATTCGCCAACACTTCGACGAGATATAGTGGGATAAGTAAGTAAATGAATAAATATATAAATGGATAAACTATTCACAGGGCTTATCATGGCCATGTAGGTAGCTATATAAACGTATATAAACGTGAGCATTAGTGACATCCATCTTTTGCCACAACTGTTACTCCTTGATGTTTTTATGCATTTACTAAAATAAGTATTATGGCTACACAAAATTATGTGTGTATAACATCAGTAACTAAAACAGTAACAAAAGCAAATACAATAATATTATTTTGTAATTGTTTGCATCACTTTTACATCCTTTTTACATAATTTAACAATATATTCTCAGCATAAATTGATCGGCAATAATCAACTATATAATTCTTTATATTAACTATATAATTCTGCTTGTGTTGTGTCAGTCCGTCCGTCAATTGATAGTTCCATCTTATGCATGAAATCTTATTTAATGTAACTGCAGACTTCAATCCTTTTGATGTAAGATGGGCATTTTATGCTCTGAGTGCTATTCCATATAAGTACGAACTTGAAGTCAATTAATTTTGATGTAAAATGAGGTGATAGTTGACAACACAAATATTAGAGAATCCTCACTAACCCCTTCAAGCACATCCACAGACGTGGGCTTACATCATATGATGAATCTATGAGAGTCCTATGCTAATTCTTCTTCTATTATTATCATCATTATTATTATTATTATTATTATTATTATCATTATTATCATTATTATCATTATTATTAATATTATTATTATTATCGTGATCATTATTCGAAGCAAGTACACTGCATTGAAGTAGTTAGACCGTCAGTTTATGCACATTTATTATTTACATGGCTATCCGAAGGGTGAGTTTAAGAAAGAAGCTAGGTGGGAAATGGGAGGAAAGAGAAGGGGAGGGGAAGGGGGCTGAAAGAGAAAATGAAGATGGAGAAGGCGAAGCAATGGGGAAACAGAGGGAACTTTAAGAGGAACAGAGAATGAGAAAAGGGAAAGGGAGGGGAGAGAGAGAAGGGAATGGGAGCGAAAGAGAAAGAAGGGGGGTGGGAGGGAAAAGGAATGAGGGAGCGAAGGTGCGGAGTTTATGTAGGAAGAAGAAATTTGGAAATTGGAAAATGACATATATTTAATCTAAAAACAAGTACACATTTATACATCACACAAAATACAATTAATAGACGAGTATATTTGATAAAACAACTTTATATCATAAGGCCCTTCTCATTTAGAGTTATATCAAATTCGTACTTGAGTAAATGGGAGGGGAAGTGAATTCAAAGAAGATCTGAGAGAGGATAGCAGAGCAGGAAAAGGAAATGTAGAGGGAGAATGTAGGTAAAAAATAGGAGAGTGAAAGAGGGAGAGAGGAGTACCTTTGTTTTTTTTTTCTGTGGAATTTTCACTGTTCCTTCTACTTCATATAATTGTTTGATGCAATCATTGTTATAATTATAATTATTTTATATTAACATTACCATTTACAATAATATCGTTAATATTTATTATTACCATCATCATCATTATTAGTATTACCATTGTATTTATCACTATTACCATTATTATTTAACATCACTGGGGAGATAATGCCAACAGCGGGAGATAGGTACATCCACCCTTCATATCCATTTATGAGGGTTTCTCATGGCGAGCTGCCAAGCAAGGTTCCTCACGACAGGTCGGATCAATCTGCTATAGTTAAAACTTTCTAATTCGTCCCATAGGCTTCTTCCATCTTGGGCTGTCTCGAGCATAAACAAATTATTTGTACTGTATTATGTGAGTAACAGGTCCTGTACTAGTCTCACAGTGTAACAATTTGTTCGACTCATGGTCCTGCCAATTTTACCCCATGATCCGGCACAAGAGCCTGTTACAAGAGGCATCAGGATTGGATTCCAAGGCATAGGCGAGCGCCAAGTTTTACTACCAAAAATTAAAGCTACCAGTATCAGGGCCTTGAAGAAGCATAACTTCGTCCCTTTGCCAAGGTACCGGCATCTTTACACGCATAGAGTTCATAACTTCTACCAGGCCAATCCTAGTCCGACTGCCCAGAGCCGTGAGCTACACTACCAAGGTAAGTAAAAATATGTGATTTCATTATATTCGTTGCAAGCACATATTCCCTGAGAAGTTTCTTCTAGCAGGCCCCCAATGCCTAGATCTATGGCTTGGTCCAGGAGATTCTAAATCCTAAAGTTTCGCTTTAATGTTAAATGCACCTAGAATTGCCACTAGAGTTTCCAGAGGAAAGTGTTGAGGGTAAGAACACAGCCCTGTCCCAATCTTGAGTTCAAAGGGTAGGTGCAAGAGAAACTCCACCACACTTTACAGAACTGTCATTACCGGTATACACGCTTGCTATTGATCCAGTAATCATTGTTGTAATCTCCCTTAGTTTCAGGAACTCCGAGAATGATTCACGATGCATTGTGCCAAATGCCTCAGTAAGTGATCTCTGATACATCTCAAGGATGTATGCAAAAACCTTGCCTGCTATGCTGAACATTATAATGTCTCAATAATGATTGTAGTCCCATCGACCCCTTTCGCGTTCTAGAGAGAATGATCACACCCCTTGACAAGTCTGGAGGAATGGTATTTGCAAGCTACACCATTGGTTCACTACCTAGCAGGGATGCCACAAAAAGTGCTGCCTAACCACTCTTAGTTTGAAGATCACCAACCAAACTTCAGTTAGTGAAGGTTGTTCCTTGTTGATGGGAGAGTCCAGCACTGGGACCACAACACCACTTGCATCCAGGTTGACTGTTGGTGGATAAACTTAGTACAACTGTTCAAAGTAATCAGCCCACTATTCCTATTCTACAACAAAATCCGAGATGGTCGGGCCAGCCCAGCTTTCTCAGGGCTTGGTAGGAGGACGAAGTTCATATACTAAGAAATGGTCTTCGACCTCCTCCACAACATCCCTATGTACTGTTCCCTGTCCCTTGCCAATAGTGGACTTTGAGGCTAGCCACAGTCAATCTATAGTACATGCCAAAGAATTCGGCATGCTGGTAGGCCTTGTAGTTCTGGATCGTCCATTGTGTGGTAACACGGATGTGACCGATCTCCTTGGCCACATTACCCGTAGGTAACACCGTTAGTGCCGGAAGCCAGGAATCTCTGGGACCTTACAAAGTCATGGAAAAGGAGGCTATTCTCGCCTGTTGCCAAACAAACATGTCATACCCAGCGAATATGTCGCTGAGGAAAGTCGAGTGTCACAGATTTTATTCACATTTTTACTTTATTATTATTATAATTCCTAATTCTACCATTATTATTGCTACTATCATTACTATTGTTGTTTCTAATATTATCACTATCATTACTATTATTTTTGTTGCTTTTATTGTAATCATCATCATCATCATCATCATCATCATTATTATTACTACTGCTATTATCAATATCATCATTAATACTTTTACTATCATCATTATCATAATAATTATTATCATTATTATCATTATTATCATGATTATTATAACTATTATTATTATTATTATTATTATTATTATTATTATTATTATTATTATTATTATTATTATTATTATTATTATTATTATTATTATTGTTATTATTACTATGATTATTATTGTTACAGTTACCGCTCATAACATTATTGTGATGACTATTAATGATAATACTACTATCACTATTCTTATCATGTTTATCACTATTATTATCATAATCATTATCATTATCATCATTATTATTATAGTAGTAGTTGTTATTATTATCATTATCCCTACTATTATCATTAATAGTAGTAATTGGTATTAATAATAGTATTGTTATTATTATCATTATTTCTTTAGTGTTGTTGTTATTGCTGATATTGTTATCTTCACAATTATTGTTATTATTATCATTATCATTGTAATTGCAATTATAACTATATATAATATATATAATATATTGTTTTTATTCTTGTTACTACTACTATAATTATTATAGTTATTATCCTCCTCCTCACCATTATTATCTTTCTTATCATTATTATTAGTAGTAGAATAGTAGATTAGTGATAATGGAAGTAGTATTGGCATCATTATTATTATTATTGCTGTTATAATAATCAATATCATTTGTATTGATATTACTGTTATTATTATTGTTGTTATAATTGATATCATAATCACTCTTATATTAACCCCCTTTATTAATTTCATTATCATCATTATTACTATTACCATCATTATCATTGTTGTTGCTGTATTGATATTAGTATTATCGATTTTGTTGTTGTACTTTTAGTCATTATTATGTTATTATTATCAATGCCATCATTATGATTACTGTTATTATTATCATTATTATTATTGTTATTATTATTATCATTATTGTTATTATTATTATTACTATCATTATTATAATAATCATTATTATTATTATTGTTGTTGTTGCTGTTGTTATCATGATGGTTATCATGATTATTATCATTATTATTGTTTTTATTATTATTACTTTTACTATCATTATTATTATTGTTATTACTATTATTATTTTCATAATAATGATTATTATTATTATCAGTATTCTTATTTTTTATTGTTATTATATTATCATTATTACTTTATTGTTATTATCATTAGTAGTTGGAGTAGTTGTACTATTAGTAGTAGCGGTAGTAGTTACAGTAATCGCACTAGTAGTATTATAATTATAATTATTGATTATAATTTTCATTATCATAACTATTGCAGTTAATGTTATTATTACTACCATCATTATTACCGTAGTTATTAGTGTCATATGGTCGTTACTATTAGATTCCTTATTATAATATCTATGATAAAAAATCTACACCCACTGGTATTCGTATTAGAGACTTGAGATAAATGCTATAAAGACAATAAATGGAAATCAGCTTCATTTAATACAGTCTAGTAGAAAACCGGGGAGGAGATACAAACTAAGAATTGAGAATATGTTTTCTATATAGAGATTGATACCATAATGGCACTCATATCCTTTACCTTGATAATGGCCATTATCATATAAAACCTTATATTTATTTCCCCTGTCCCTAACATTACATCGCTTGAATGATTAGAATGGAGAGAGAGAGAGAGAGAGAGAGAGAGAGAGAGAGAGAGAGAGAGAGAGAGAGAGAGAGAGAGAGAGAGAGAGAGAGAGAGAGAGAAAGGATATATCCCAATAAGGTCATAGGAAGCAGAGACTCGATATCACTGACCTGCTCATCCCGGGGACGATGTTGGGCGCCACTTGGCTGCCCCCTAAGGGCCAGTGGAAAAGGATGCTGTCTAGCTCATCCTCCTCTTCTTCCATAACACCTCCCTGCCCGAGGAGCGGCTTATGAGGCCCCCAATCCTCCATTGTGCCGCTCCAGGGGGCTCCAAACTCATTATAGCCCGGAAGGGGAGGGAAGACATCCGCGTGGTTCAGGGGTGGAGGGTGCCACAGCTCCGGCCCTCCTGGCAGCAACGTCGGCTGGTCTGGCACGCCGAGAACTCGAGTGTCTGTGGTATCCAACGGCCTTAGCGAATCCTGGTGAAAGGAGCCGGGCCTGTTGACTAACTCTGTTTTAGGAGTTTGAGATAATTGAAAGTCGATACTGTGGGGAGCATCAGCGTGTTCGCTGTCTCTGGCGAATCCTCCTTCCTCTATCTTGGGTCGATTATCCTTGCTCCTGCCCTTAAGCCCTGCAGAGGGAGCTTCCTGTCTCCCAGAGCTCTCGAGGGGATCTTTCCTCGCGCTCCTTTGGGCTTGATCTCGCCCTCCTTCTTCCGAGGTCCTAATGGAGTAGTCGTGTCGAACCACCCCCGAGTCCTGAGCATCCTTCTCTCCCACGTGCTCAGAATCTTTAGTCTGGGAAATACGATGACCTCGGGAAAACCGAGCGAGCCGATCTTGCTCTCTGGATGTTGCTGGCGGATTCCGGTTCGTGTTTGCCCAAAGGGAGCCATCGCCGGCCTCCGGGGGACCTATATATACACTGTCGCCGACGGAGGGAGCTGCAGGTCTTCTCTCGCCAGCCGAAGGACCAAAGGCTTGTGTAGGATGATGTACGACGGACCGCACCGTGCCCCATGTCTTCCCCTGCTCCCTGCCTCCATAGGAAGCAGGGGAAGCAGGGACACAGAAGAGGAGGAAGAGGGAGAAGTAGAGAAGCGTCGTGTCACGCGCGTGTCTCAGGTTCGTCGACGGAGAAGGAAGGAAGGCAGGCAGGGGATCCCTCATGGTTCACAT